GCGCCGTGGCAGAACATATCGGCCCTGGTGGCTCCTCGTGAATTTCTGGGAGGCAACTGCCATCGCCAGAGGCAAAGCCAGACTCGCAAATGCCCGTCTACCCCGAGCCCACAGCCATCAAGAGCAACACCCCAGGACAAACGGCGGCGTCGCGAGCCCGGACCCAACGGCGGGGCCACGCCACCACAGGGACCCGCGGCCTCGCGCCCGCCCGGGGCCGCCTCTGGGCCCGAGTCCACGGGGAGCAAACCCGGGCCTCGTCATGCAGGTCACACACCGCTCTGCTCGCACCGTGCCGTGGTGCCACCGGGAAGCGGGGGCACGGCCCGGGCCGGCAGCTGCAGGTCCGCCCAGGCCCAGGGCCGCACCCAGGGGCCGGGAGGCCAGCGGGGGCAGAGGCGCCTCCTCCACACGCCACGCCCGCTGAGAGCAGAGGCCGAGGGCACTCTGCCACTGCAGAAGGGTCTCACCCCACCGCCCGCCCGTCCGCCTCAGGGCGTGGCCCCGCCAGAGCCGCCCCCGGCCCACGATGGCGCTGGGGTCTGTCCTGGGCGCTGAGGGCAGCACCCACCCAGGGTCTTCATGTCCCGCTTCTCATCTGTCCCTCTCCGCCAATGACCAGCTCCCCTCTGAGCCCCCCTGAAGAGGGAGCCCGGCCTCCAGAGTGGGGCGCCTCTCCGGACCCCCCGCGCGGCGCTGAGGCAGGAGCGGCACGACTTACCAGCCGAAGCAGAAGAGCGCGAGGTGCAGGCCCAGGAGCGTGGCGACGGCATGCCTCACGAAGGAGCTGGTTCTGCTGCAGCAGAGGTAAGTCCGGAACCACACGGCCGCCAGCAGGGCGAAGAGCTGGCACACGACAAAGTTGACCTGGGGAAGGCGAGTCTGTGTCAGCGACGCAGCCCCGACGGCCGCCTTAGGCCACATTTCATCCCAGGACAGACACTAAGGCCACAGAAAATTAGACTCGCAGCTTAAGAAACCAGAAGGCCTCTGGGGTGGCGGCGGCAAGGTGAGGGGACAGGGCGGGGGGACATGCGCCAGGGGGTCAGGGGGCCAGACGGGACGAGTCGCCTCCAGGAAACACGACCCCGGACCACCGGCCAGGCAGGCCACAGGCTCCTGCCACGGCGATGCCCGCGCAGCCCAGCTCGCCCCAGGCAGCCGCTGCCCGCAGGCGGGGCGGGATGAGGCTCGCCGGGGGCCGTCTCCTCGCCTCTGCGGAAGGACGGTCTCAGAGGTCAAGGACACGGCCGGACACTGCCACGAATCTGTGACAGAGAAACCCATGTGACCAGCAACTTGCGGGAAACAGCAAGGTCCTGTCCCGGGCGCCCCGAGGGTGACCGAGTCACGCCAGGGGACACGCAGCTGCCGCCGCCACCGCGGCCCAGAGCCAGCTCCGCGAGGGCAGGGTGCCGCGCGGAGGCGGACAGGCGGGCATTGTTGCGCCGTCAGAGGGACCACTGTTCTCCGCAGCAGGCAGGCTGAGCCGCGCAGGTCTCTGCACAAGGACCCGGGCGCTTCCTCGGACCGCACTTCGCACGGGCCACAGAGTGAATGCGTCAGGACACGAGTACCGTGCTGTGCGCTGTCACGGAGAGAGCGTCACGCGTTAGAGGCTGCCCGCGAGCATCGC